AAAAAAAAAAAGATTGAGAAGGGAGAGGGTTGACATATTGTGGGGTTGTTAACCGATGTCATAAAACAATATGTGTACTACTGTTTCATGAGAAACTATTTGTTCTGTAAACCTTCACCTGAAGTACAATAAAAAAATAAATAAAAAATAAATAAATCTACTATCTCCAAGGGAAAAAAAAAAAAGAAAATCATTTATTGAAGTTCTATGTAATCAAGCCTAGTGAATAAGTTAGTCTCTAATGTTTTGTAGAAGCAGTTTGAGTACTGTGGTTCTCTTTCCTTGTTAATAAATTACATGCTTTGATTTCCACATCATTCAAGATAATGAGAGAGCCAGAATGAAGGAACTAGATTAGAGTTCCTTTACATGCCAGGAGCTGATGAGCCAGGCTGTGACCCACAAATGAGCAGTCAAAGGGGGGTGGAGGAATCAAAGACCAATCTGAGCAATGATTCCCTAGTAATCATGAACTGATCAATAAAAGAGATAGCGGATCAGCAGTGCTCACACTGTGCTAGGCCAAATCAGGATACTCATTATCAAAGCTGTCTACGTGACTGCACTCACCCATAAAATTCCAGAGTTGCACAATTTCCTGTGTCAAAGAAAGTAGCCTGGTGGTCTGACTAGTCACAGGCAGAATGATCTGTTACGTCATACTCAGAGTCCCTGGCTGTCCCAAATCGAAGGGCACTCCTTGATGTTTTGCTTCTTAACAATCCTGTTGTCATGGGGCAGAGATTAAGAGCCAGTTTTCACGGCTCAGCAAAGAGAAAACTAGAGGGTATACGCAGCAATAGTGGAGTAAGGAGAGATTGTATCCTGTCAGACAGAAATGAGCTGAAGCTATATTCTCTAGAGGAAACTGCTTCCCTTATTTTAACCATTCTCAGCCTCAGACTAGACACACACAAGATTCACTCAGTCCAGACATCTTTAAGACAACAAGGAATCATGTAAAATAATTAAAACTTGTGCTATGTAACTACCCAGTTTACTAAAGAGTTAGCTTAGGCATATAATAATTATTTATAACAAACCACAAAGGTATACTTTGGGGTCCTGAGGTAAAAACCTTTGACAGGCACAGCTAAGAAGACAGACTCTTTGGTCCAGTCTCGATTCCTCTCTTCTCTTTCTTGCAATGCTCTAAGTTGTTGAGCCTCTTCTGATGCCCCTCCTCCCCACCCAGTAACCCTCATGCACCCCACCCCTGCTCTTTTCATCTCCCCCCGTCTATGTTCCTGGGATGCATGTCTTGAATTCAGAAAATTCTCAATTACAGTATTATCCATTGTAAGTACCAACTCTGCAATCCTGTAAGGACGTTCGCAGCCTTTAGTGACTCTGCAAATGACTGGTTGTTTATTAGCCCCCAGTGGCCTCTCCCTGTTATTTAAACAATCCTGAGACTTGGAGCATTCTCCCTACTTCCTGCCACTCAGCAGCTACATGCCTTTTGATGGGAAGAGTAACTGTCCCAACAAGACAGAAATATGAACCGATGACCCTTCCTGCCTAACACCATAAAATGTTCACTGGTGCGAGTCAGAGGTGGGAATGTTTAGCCATTTCATTTCACGACTGGTGTAAGGGTGCTGTACATGCACATTCTGGAGCCCTCAGCAACCATCTGAAGAGTTTTTTTGGTAGAATTTGCTGGAAGAAGTGACCTCAGGGATGGTTGCTGTGCTCTGCTGGCCATCCTTCCATCCCAAAGGTGCTGAGTTTGAGCACTGAGTAGAGACAGAGAAGGAAATGGCAGCTGCTGGCTCATAGGGTGGCTTCATCCCAATTAGGAAAAAACACCCCCTGTGGATGAATGAACTACTAAAATATGCCCCCTCTGTGTGGACCATTGGAGCCCTGGTGGCACAGTGGTTAAAAGCTTGGCTGTTAACCAAAAAGTCAGCAGTTCAAATCCACCAGTCGCTCCTTGGAAACCCTATGGGGCTGTTCTACTCTGTCCTATGAGGTCACCATGCGTTGGAATCAACCTGAAGGCAACGGGTTTGGTTTTTGCAACAGGTGTGGACCATTGGGGAAGAGGGACCCCTCTGGGCACCAATATTTTCTTAGAGCAGCATTTTACAAGACAGAGGGCTTGGCCAGTGGAGCCTAGTCAAGGTTTTAGCCCCCTCTCAGTGGGCGTAAAGGACATAGTCATTCAAGGCGGCTCTTGAAAGAGGCCTTGAGATATTCTGCGTGCTTGATTTTCTGTATCAAAATGTTTAGTCAAGATTACTGCCAGCTGATGGGAGGTCCTCCTCCACTATGTGCGTGAACATGAGTTATTTCAAGTAATTTGGGTAGCAAGCCTCTAAGGCTGAGATTTTGCACATGAGGAAATTGAAGCTCAGAGGTTAAGTATCTTGCCCTAGGTCATGTGGTGGTGTCAGATTTTGATCTTCATCCTTCTGGATTTCCCAGCTCTCATTATTCTCCTTCGCCGTAGTGTTCACCACTAATACTGTGTATTTCCCATCTCATGTGTATATTATATGTCTCCCTCAAGTAGAATGTAAGTTCCATGAGGTTAGGGATTTGTGTCTGTTTCATTCACTGCTGAATCCTCGTGCCTAGAACAGTGCCTGGCGCACAGTAGACTCACTCAATAACATTTGTTAAATGAATGAAATGTTCAAACATCAGAGTACATTGTCCTATAACCAGTTACTTCAGCAAACAGCCTTTGGCAAATAGTTACATAATGCTTCGAGATATTTTAGAGAAAAGGTTATGTTAGCAAAAAATGTGCACTGTTATCATCAGGATTTTCTTCAGCTAAAAAAAAAAGTCTCTATACTTTTAGACAAATATTAGATATCTAAAGACAGAGGTTTAATTAAAAAAAAGTCTTCCACTCTGAGATTCATATCCACATCAAAGAGAGACATCCCAGGTTACTAAACTAGGACACATTCTATTTACTAAGTCTAACCTTTGCCTTTGAAGAAAGGTTTATTTATGGCTGATGTCTTTGATGATTAAAATGGAATTATCTAGAGAAATTGGAGCTTTCATCCACTGCCGGTGGGAATGAAAAATGGTATAAGCCACTGTAGAAAATAGTTTGGCTGTTTCCCCAAACATTAAATATAGAACTAGCATATGACCAAACATCCCAGTTCAAGGTGCCATGGTTAAGGCTGTGTGTCAAATTGGCTGGGCCATGATTCTCAGTGGTTTGGCAGTTACAATGTAGTCTGACAGCTATGTAATGATGTAATCAACTACATAATGACGTCTGATATAATGTAATCACCTCCATGATGAGATCTCCTATGAGCAGCCAATCAGTTGAAACGGAGTTTTCTTAGGTGTGTGGCCTTCATCCAATATATGTGGACTTTCTGGCAAAGCTTGTGTGCTTTTGCTTGCTCTAGATCCTGCATTTGGCTCCTGTTCACCTGACCTCCAGTTCCTGGGACTCGAGCTAGCAGCTTACCTGCCAGTCTTGGGCTCATCAGCCCCTGCAGCTATGTGAATCAGGAGAAACCTCCAGCTTGACCCACGGACTTAGGATTTTCCAGCATCTACAACTTTGTGAGCCATTTCCTCGATGTAAATCTCTCTCTCTCTCTCATATATATATATATATATATACACACACATATATGTGTGTGTGTGTGTGTGTGTGTATATACACATATACATACACATGCTTCACTGGTTTTGCTTCTCTAGAGAACCCAGCCTAAGACATTTGATACCAAGAGTGGTTCTAGAGAAACAAAACTGTAAGAAGGAGTTTTCTAAATTGGTTCTCAAGTCTGGTTAATCTTAAAGATGCTGATGACTCTACTTCTAGTAGTAAAGAGGACACTGCTAATCCATGGCATGAAGTGGAAATACAAATACACAAACTATCACCTCCAATAGATTGGTGAAAGGTGAGGTTCTGGATGATCACATATTTGGTAGCTTTCTATAATTTTCTTAGAATAAGAAGTATAAGGAAGCTGGTTGGTTGGTCCTGCTTTTGCTATACAAAGTGGTGAAAGAAAGAGATGAGCTCAGGGCTTCAGAATCACAGCTCAAGTGCTGCATAAACAACCTCAAAGTTGCCACTTTTGCCTTGAAAGAAAGCCTTATTTCTTGTAGTAACAGAGCTGATGTTGCCAAAAACCAAACCTAGAGTCTTATTGTAAGAGTGGCTGAATTAAAACATCAGTTGAATTCCCAACCTCGAATTGTGTCTGAAGTTAAAGTGAGGGCATTAACTGGGGGAGAAATCAGATCCTGAAACTTGGGATGGGGACATATGGGCAGATAATCAGGAAGCTGGGATAATCAGGAAGCCCCTAAATTCCGTAGAATAACTCCTACCAACAGAACCAGCCTTCTCACTCCATTCTGAAGAGATTATTCCATCTTTGTCTGCTAAGCCACCCTGCCCAGCAAAACCATTAGCCCTTCCACCCCTATCTGATGAGATTAACCCAGCTATGTCTGAAGAGGCTTTGAGTCATCCCTTGGGGAGGTGTCTGAGTTGCTGCCTGGAGCATTGCCTGAGGCAGATGCCTTATAAGATGTTGCTGAATGTTCTCAGAACACATCCCCATCACCCAGTTTTGCTTCTAGACCTATAACTAGACTTAAGTCCCAGTGAGACCCAAAAGGTGAAGTACAAAGTGTGACCCAGGAGGAGGTACCAAAACCAAAAAAAAAAAACCAAACCCGTTGCCATCAAGTCAATTCCGACTCATAGTGACCCTATAGGACAGGGTAGAACTGCCCCATATTGTTTCCAGGAGTTCCTGGTGGATTCAAACAGCTGACCTTTTTGGTTAGCAGCCATAGCGCTTAACCACTACACCACCAGGGTTTCCAGAGGAGGTACACTACACTCCAAAAGAACAACTTGAGTTTTCTAACATGTACAAACAGAAATCTGAGGAATATGTGTGGGAATGGTTACTAACGGTGTGGGATAATGGTGCGAAGAACATAAAGTTGAATCAGTCTGAGTTTATTGATATGGGCCCACTAAGCACTGATCCTTCATTCAATGTTTCAGCTCCCGAGGTTAGGAAAGGATCTAATAGTTTATTTGGTTTGTTCGCTGAAGCCCGGATTATGCGGTGGCCCATACTAAATCAAGATGAAGTGCCAGACATGCCGTGGTATAGTGTAGAAGAAGGAATCCAAACACTTAGGGAAATTGGCATGTTGGAGAGTATTTGTCAGGTTAGACCCACAGACCCACACATGGAGTACCCAGAGGACACACCTTTTACCATAACAGTATGGAACAAATTTGGGAAGGGAACCCCAGCATCCTTGAAGACTGCTGTGATTGCTATTTTATATAAATCAGATCTGACAGTGGGAACTGCTCTAACTGAATTACAACACCTAACTACAATTGGGATGATTGGACCCTGTGGTGGTATGGGCCAAGTGGTGGCACTCAATCAACAAAGACAAGGTGATCATGGTTACTGTAATGGACAGCAGAGTCAAAGCAGTAATCAGAATAGTTTGACTCACATGGACTTATGTCATTGGCTACTTAGTCATGGTGTCCCTAGGAGTGATGGGAAATCTACTAGATATTTACTTGATATGTACAAGAGGAAGAATTCTAGGTCAAGTGAAGGGCAGTCTAACTTGAATCTCCAGAATAGAGTCATGGTCCCTCAATCACATCCCAGACCCACAACCCTTTGAATGAAGGGGAGGCCAGGTCCCCTTGAGGAAGGACCCCATTATATTGCCAAAAATTTATACTGTTAATCTTTCTCCCAGCCTTCTCCAAAGGGATCTATAGCCTTTTATGAGAGTGACTGTTCACTGAGGAAAAGGAAATAATCAGACTTTTCAGGGATTACTGAACACTAACTATAAACCGACACTAATTCCAGGAGATCCAAAACGTCACTGTGGCCCATCAGTCAGAGTAGGGGTGTATGGTGATCAGATTATTAACGGAGTGTTAGCTCAGATTCAGCTTACAGTGAGCCCAGCGGTTCCCTGAACTCATCTTGTAGTGATTTCCCCGGTTTCAGAATGCATAATTGAAATAAACATACTCAGCAACTGGCAGAACCCCTATATTGGACCCCTGATGAGTGGAGTAAGGGCTATTATGGTAGGAAAAGCCAAGTGGAAGCCATTAGAACTGCCTCTACCTAGGAAAATAGTAAACCAAAAGCAGTATCCCATTCCTGGAGGGACTGCAGAGATTACTGCCACCATCAAAGACTTGAAGGATGCAGGCATGGCGATTGTCACCACATCCCATTCAGCTCACCTATTTGGCCTGTGAAAAAAACAGAATGACATGGATTATAGAAAACTTAACCAGGTGGTGACTCCAATTGCAGCTGCTGTTCCAGATGTGGTTTCATTGCTTGAGTAAATTAATATATCTCCTGGTACTCGGTATGCAGCTATTGATCCGGGGAGTGCCTTTTTCTCCATACCTGTTTTGAAGGACCACCAGAAACAATTTGCCTTTAGTGGACAAGGCTATCAATACTCCTCTACTGTCCTACCTCAGGGGTATATAAACTCTCCAGCGCTGTATCATAATTTAGTCAGCAAGGACCTTGATCTCCTTTCCCTTCCACAAGACATCACACTGGTCCATTACATTAATAACATTATGTTGACTGGACCTAGTAAGGAAAAAGGGTCAATGACTCTGTACTTATTGGTAAAACATTTGTGTGCTAGAGGGTGAGAAATTAATCCAACAAAAATTCAGGTCCCTTCCACCTCAGTGAAATTTCTAGGAGTTCAGTAGTGTGGGGCATGTTGAGATATTCCTTCTAAAGAGAAAGATAAGTTATTGCATCTGGCTCCTCCCACAACTAAAAAGGAGGCACAACATCTGGTGGGCTTATTTGGATTTTGGAGGCAACAAATCACTCATCTGGGTGTGCTACTCCAGCGTGTTTATCAAGTGACTCAAAAAGCTGCTTAGTTTTACATGGGACCCAGACCAAGAAAAGGCTCTGTAATAAGTTCAGGATGCTGTGCAAGCCACTCTCCCACTTGAACCATATGATGTGGTTGATCTAATGGTGCTTGAAGTGGCAGTGGCAGATGGAGATGCTGTTTGGAGTCTTTGGCAGACCTCTATTGGTGAATCACAGTGCAAACCCTTAGGATTTTGGAGCAAAGCTCTGCCATGCTCTGTAGATAACTACTCTTCTTTTGAGAAACTGCTTTTGGCTTGTTACTGGGCCTTAGTAGAGACTGAATGCTTAACCATGGGCCACCAAGTCACCATGTGGCCTGAGGTGCCCATCATGAAATGGGTATTATCTGACCCACAGAGTCATAAAGTCGGTTGTGCACAGCAACACTCCATCATTAAATGGAAGTAGTATATATGAGATCAGGCCTGAGCAGGACCTGAAGGCACAAGTAAGTTGCATGAAGAAGTGGCCCAAATGCCCTTGGTCTCCACTCCTGTCACATTACCTGCCCTCTCCCACTCTGCACCTATGGTCACTAGGGGAGTTCCTTATGATCAGTTGACTAAAGCAGAGAAAAAACTCGTTTCTGGTTTACAGATGGTTCTGCACCATATGCAGGCACCACTGGCAAGTGGACAGCAGCAGCAGTACAGCCCTTTTCTGGGACTCCCTACAGGACAGGGGTGAAAGGAAATCCTCCCAATGGGCAGAATTTCCAGCAGTGCACCTGATTGTTCACTTTGCTTGGAAGAAGAAATGGCCAGATGTGCAATTATATACTGATTCATGGGCTGTGGCCAATGGTTTTGCTGGATGGTCAGGGACCAGGAAGGAACATGATTGGAAAATTGGTGACAAGGAGGCATGGGGAAGAGATATGTGGATAGACCTCTCTGAATGGGCCAAAGAAATGAAGATATTTCTGTCTCATGTGAATGCTCACCAAAGGGTGACCTCGGCAGAGGAGAATTTTAACAATCAAGTGGACAGGGTGACGCATTCTGTGGCAATCAGTCATCCTCTTTCCCCAGCCGTTCTTGTCATTGCCCAGTGGGCTCATGAACAAAGTGGCTATGGTGGCAGGGAGGGAGGTTATGCATGGGCTCAGCAACAGAGACTTCCACTCACTAAGGCCAACTTAGCTACAGCCACTGCTGAGTGCTCAATCTGCCAGCAGCAAAGACCAACACTGAGTCCCCGATATGGAACCATTCCTCGAGGTGATCAGCCAGCAACCTAGTGGCAGGTTAATTACACTGGACTGCTTCCATCATGGAAAGAGCATTGTTTTGTTCTTACTGGAATATGGATTTTCCTTCCCTGCATGCAAATGCTTCTGCCAAAACTGCCATCTATGGACTTACAGAATGCTTAATCCACCATCATGGTATCCCACACAGCATCAGCTCGGATCAAGGGTCTCACTTCGTAGCAAATGAAGTGCGGCAATGGGCCTATGCTCATGGAATCCACTGGTCTTACCATGTTCCCCATCATCCTGAAGCAGATGGCTTGACTGAATGATGGAATGGCCTTCTAAATACACAATCACAGCACTAGCTAGGTGGCAAAACCTTGCAGGGTTGGGGCAATGTTCACCAGGGGGCTGTATATGCTCTAAACCAGCGTCTAATATGTGGTGCTGTTTCTCCCATAGCCAGGATTCATGGATCCAGTAATCAAGGGGTGGAAAAGGGAGTGACACCACTCACTATTACCTCTAGTGACCCACACACAAATTTTTTACTTCCTGTCCCCGCAAACTTATGCTCTGCGGGTCTAGAGGTCTTAGTTCCAAAGGGAGGAATGTTCGCACCAGGAGGTGCAACATCGACTCCATTGAACCAAAAGTTAAGAATGCCACGGGCCACTTTGGGCTCCTCATGCCTGTGGATTAACGGGCAAAGAAGGAGGTTACTGTACTGTCTGGTGTGACTGAGCCTGATCACAAAGAGGCAATCGGATTGATAATACATAATGGAGGTAAAGAAGAGTGTGTAACACAAGAGATCCCTTAGGACATCTCTTAGTACTTTCATGTCCTGTGATTAAAGTCAATGGAAAACTACAACCAGCCAATTCTGACATGACTACTAATGGCCCAGACCCTTCAGGAATGAAGGTTTGGATCACCCCACCAGACAAAGAACCATGACCAGCTGAGGTGCTTGCTGAGGGTAAAGGCAATACAGAATGGGTGGCAGAAGAAGGCAGTTCTGAACACACTAACCAGTTGCAGAAACGAGGACTGTAATTGTTACGAGTATTTCTTCCTTGTGTGTGTGCATCAAAGACTTTTGTTTTCTTTACTTACAAAACATAAGATGTAAACAGGGCTAGTGCGTTTTCAGTTGTATGCATGTTAGTTGTATCATGTTAGGTGCAAGTATGACATTATAATTGTCTTTATTTAGAGACTATATATGGTTTAGGGAGATGTGTGTGGGTGCCAAGTTGACAAGGAGTGGATTATAATGGTTAAGGTTATGTGTCAATTTGGCTGGGCCATGATTCTCAGTGATTTGGCAGTTACGATGTAGTTCGGCAGCTATGTAATGATGGAATCACCTCCATAAAGAGATCCCATATAATGTAATCACCTCCATGATGAAATCTGTTATGAACAGCCAATCAGTTAAAAAGGAGTTTCCTTGGGGGTGTGGCCTGCATCCAATATAGGTGGACTCCCTGGCAAAGCTCATGGGCTTTTGTTCCCTCTGGTTCTTGCACTTGGCTCCTGTTCATCTGACGTCTGGTTCTTGGGACTTGAGCTAGCAGCTTACCTGCTGATCTTGGGTTCATCAGCCCCTGCAGCTACATGAGTCAGGAGAAGTCTCCAGCCTGACCCATGGTCTACTGATTTTACTTCTCTAGAGAACCCAACCTAATACACTAGGTATATACTCAAAAGAATTAAAAGCAGGAACCAAAACAGAAACTTGTACACCAATGTTCATTCCAGAATTATTCACAAGAGCCAAAAGATAGAAACAACTAAACGCCCATCACCAGAATAATGGGTAACTAAATGTGGTCTCTCCATACAATGGAATACTACTCAGCCATAAAGAGAAATAAAGTCCTGATACATGCAACAGCCTGGATGAACCTTGAAAACATTATACTGAGTGAAATAAGTCAGTCACAAAAGGAATTTTCATATATTTGTCTCTTATGAAATAGACACATAGAGAGAGGTCAAAGTTTATTAATAGCTGCCATGTCTGGGAGGAAGGAGGAAAGGGAAAATCATTGCTTAGTGGGCACTGAGTTTATGTTAATGGTGGTAGAAAAATTTGGAAAAGGATAGTGGTGATGGTTGCACAACATGATGGACATAATTCAATGTCATTAAATTCTACATGTAAAAGTTGTCGAATTGGCAAATGTTTTGTTATATATATTATCACGATAAAGAAATTAAATAAAGAAATTATCAAAATTTTGTTATGCTCTGCTATTATTTGCATGTAGGCATATAGAATAATCTGATAAGGTTTCTATGCAGTTGTACTCAGGGCTCAGAGAACAGCTAAAGCATTCAAAATGAAGTTTTTATTTTTGATTACTTAAATTTGGCATGCTAAATAACAAGTTTTCATATCTCAAGTAAGTTTGTGTTTGGCTTTTAGAAACAGTAAAGAGCTACGTGTTTTGATTCATCTTGTATAATCTTTTTCCGGCTTTACTGCACATTCGCTGTATGCAGGGCACGGTGCTGTGGCGTATTGTTGAAGGAACAAAGAAAGCTTTTAGAGATGGTCTCTGCCTTTCTGGAATTTACACGCTGAATAGAAGAAACAGAGTTATGCACACTCTAGTGCCTCCAACAATAACCGTCGGCTTTTACATGTAATCTGAGAAGGCTGGCAACAAGTCACCGTGTTGTCCTGGATTTACGAGAACTGAACCGAATTGGAAAATGTTATTTGCTTTAAGGGAACAGTTTACTCTTGTGCAACTTTAAACTGTGTCAGCCAAGCGTATAAATGGAGTAATCCTTATTTATAAAATTGCCGGCTTCTGGTTTCACTTCTCTGCTTTTAAGGTTCCAAGAGGGGAAAAAGAATGAAGATTTTGCAGCTTGGTGTTTTTCTGGTTTTGTACAGCACCTCAGCCTGGGCAGAAGATAAGCATTATTACATTGGAATTGTTGAAACAACTTGGAACTACGCCTCTGCCGATGGAGAAAAGAAACTTATTTCAGCTGACAAGTAAGTCACAATTTCTATTGTTTATGGACCAAATGTGTAAGTTTTCAGTTTAAGAAATACAGCCAATAAGATGAAATATTTCTTTGATTTGTTATACACAGAAAATGTAAAATGTGCATTGGAAAGCCAAGACACTTTGCTCAATCTCCTGTAAATCCCTACATATTTTTTCATTTGAGAGGCTTCCCTGGTGCTTTCCCTTCATCTGAGGAAATGTGCTGGCTTCTTATTGCCTCTCCTGGTTGTTATTGCATTTCCCGTCAGGGTTCAGTCTATTTATGCATAAGTTCATTAATTTAAACAATGGCTATATAAAATGTTGTGTTATACTACTGTCTTGGTTATCTAGTGCTGCTGTAACAGAAGCACCACAAGTGGGTGTCTTTAACAAAGAGAAATGTATTCTCTCATTCTCTCACCATCCAGGAGGCTAGAAGTCCAAGGGGAAGGCTACCTCTCTGTGTCAGCTCTGGGGGAAGGTCCTTTTCATCAATCTTCCCTTGGGTATAGGAGTTTCTCAGCCCAGACACCTTGAGTCAAAAGGATCTGCTTTTCTCCTGGCTCTTCCTTCTTGGTGGTATGAGGTCCCTCTCCTCTCTGCTTGCTTCTCTCTTTTATATCTCAGAACAGACGGACTCAAGATACAACCTAATCCTGTACATTGAGTCCTGCTCATTAACATAACTGCCTTTGATCCCACCTCATTAACATCATAGAGGTTAGGATTTACAACACATAGGATAATCACATCAGATCACAAAATGGTGGACAACCATGCAATACTGGGAATCATGGCCTAGCCAAGTTGACATGCATTTTGGGGTGATACAAATCAATCCATAACAACTACTTGTTAGTGGTAAACAAATAGTTTTTAATCCTTCAAAATATTATTCATAGAAATTAAATACAATTTTAACAAATATGATTCTGCCTAATACTTGTTGAGTGACTGGACAATTAATCAAGTTAATATCTGTCAGCCTCAGAGTCCTAGTCTGTATAATGGGGGTACGAAGAATACCTCATAGGGCTGTTTGAAGACTGGGTGACTATAAAGCTTTTAGTACAGTGCTTGGCATACAGTACATGCTCAAAAAAAGCTAGCTATTTATTCTGACGGCCAAAAATAGCTCTCTGTGACTTAAATGTTTCTATATTTCAGCTGCAGAAAAAACAGGAATATAGTTCCTTTGAAGTTTTTTGTAATGAAAGTTTATGTATAATACTGAGGTCAGCACTTTTAATTATGTTAATTAAACATTTGCCACCAAAGTGAAATAGGCATTCAAAACCAATATTCACTACATTTTTAAAAAATGTATTTTAGTGCTGATACAGCATAAGTGAGCCCAATGACCATCAGCTGCTAAGATGGTACCTTTAGAATACAGCTAAACAAATATGTCAAATTTCATAATTGTTGACTTTGGTGATGGGTATACACTATTCTCTCGACTTTTATGTATGCTTGAAATTTTTCATGTAACAACAAATATATAGCCAATAACAACATCAAATTTATTAAGTTATTAATTTACTAATATGCAGTAAGGGATGTTTCTGACCTAAAGATTATTATAAATAAAACTAGTGCATCTTGCAGTTATGAAATATTCCTCACTTCTTAGGCGTATAACAATTTTATAACTTCACCAGAAGTATTATTTTGGTTTGGATTCAGCATTTTTCTTGATTGTACATAACGTAAATTATATGCTGTCTTTATTTCCAAGGAAAAAGTCAGACACAAAAAAGTGTGCTGTCCTGTTCCAAGCCCCCACTCACCACCCCCCTGCCATTGTTCATCATCAAAAATCAAATCAGCTTTACTGAGTGTGAACTATGTGCTTGCCCCAGGCATGCTTCAATAAAGAAGTCTCTAATTCTAGAAGTTAGAGAACAGAGGAGTAAAGGAGTTTATTAAGAATTTTTTTTGGTGGAGGGGGAACGTGTGAAAAAATCCCTTGTTTTTAAATACTCTTGTGGTCTGTCTATGCTAGCTAGGTTATACAATGAACATGAAGCTCTTTACTTCATTTCTGCTAGGGATACTTAAAAGAAATGTGGGACATCTTTCAGTTGCCAAGTTCAGCTCTCTTTCCATTACTAACCTAGTAATTTCCTGCCACTTCAACAACAGCCAATTGTTACAGGATTCATGCAAATTCAGACAGGACTGTTCAGTCTGCCTGTTATATTTTTCTCCACACCTCTGTGCAGTGAATACTGAGTAGAGCTTCGGCAATTTTTGCCAATACTGTGCTGAAATTTTGTGTAGACGAGGCGAGGTAAAACATTTCCTATTTGTCCCAGATTTGCAGCATGTCTAGCCCAGCCACCCAAGCATGATGCGTATGTATCATGGGACGTGATTGACACTCTTGCTGTGTGATGGCTATAAAGGAGTGAAGACAATCAGGCTGAGGACCAAAATGCAAGGAGAGCCCAAGATGAATGTTAGGTAGAGGATTGGGTTTAAGCTGGATGCTGACGTTGAAGGTTTGAGAGGATGAAGAGGAAAAATATGTACTGAGATGGTAGGAACTCCATCTGTCATGTCCACTGCTTGGTCATTAGTACCTAGAACATGAGTAGGCACTAAATAAATATTTGTGAATAAATGAAAATGAGTGAGTAAAAGCTAGAAGAAATTATAGCCTGTGTCATAAAAAGCTTCCCTTGTGCGTCATGTAGACAGATTCATGCTGTAGGATAAATCAGGATACAGAATGAGATAAGAAAGGACAACAGCTGAGCTACAGAGTCTCATGTACAGCTAATGAAACTGAAAGTATTGGTAGATATCTCACGAGGAAAATTTTGGACTTGGGGGAGGGTAGGAAAATGTAGTCTACCTCTCTGGTATGAATGCCAATAATATTTATTCTAATGGGAGAAGGTAGGAAGGCATTTCCTTGTACTCAGTACTGCCATTTAGTTGGCTCAATGCCTTATCTGTCTGTCACTTCAACAAATCGATAAATAGAGACTCTATAAAATACAGTTTCTGTTCCAAAATTATTTAAAAGACGTTTATGTAATAAAAATTAGTAAACACAATAGTGTGTGCTAGTCCCATAGTAGACATTAATGAAATATTTATGGGATTAATTGGCTCTACAGTAACAATAAATTTTCTGGTGAGCTCTAGGAAACAGCTCTGAAGCTGGAAGGAAGTAAAAGTTTCTTTAAAGCATAGGGGCAGCCATCACAAAATCCTTTTCCATGGGACTTCACAGGATCTTACTCAGGCTTGGTGACCCTTATCCAACAGATAGTTCTTACAAACTTTGTTACCTAGTTTTCCAGCTTTGAAAAAAAATCAGAAATGGTATAGTGAAGATGCCATTAGAAGGATATTGATCACCAATATGAAGTAACAGCTCAAATTCTAACCAAAGAATTAGACAATAACAAAAAAAGAACATTCCATCCTATGAGATAATCCTAAGTGTTATAATTATTGTCTCCAGTGATCAGGATGGAGTAAGTATTCAAGAGATATTCATTTTCACTATTATTATCAGAAAAAAAGTTAATTTTTCCCAGTATTCCCTGTTTACAGAAGTAAATAAAACATTTGTAACCCAAAAAAACTCGCACTGAAAGCATTCGTTTTACTCCTTCAAAAATGGTTTCAAAAAATGTTAATGATTCTTAAAGAGGTCAAATGATTAGCTAAAGTCTGGAAAATTCACTTAAAATGACTCATTCTCCAAGATTGCCAAAGAACAAATAGTTAATAATAGCTTTGCTGTTGTTGGGTGCCATCGAATCTATTCTGACAGAGTAGAACTGCCCCATAGCTAGTGTGGTGCAAATAATTGGAACATAGAACAGCCTGTAAGAAGGAGCTAATTAAGTGATGATAACACAGTTCACACTTGTCCAGCTCTACAATTTATTACCATAATTTCCATTTCCCCTGAGGCCAGATTGAAAGGAAGATTGACTATTGGGTACTGTGTTTAAGCCGTGATGGGGAAGCAAGGCTAGCTAGGATTCACTTAAGTTTGCACTCTATACACCTGCATTGAGTCTTTGCCTACTTCTTGCGCCAGTTAAGATTAGACAAATGCCTTGCGATTCCAATGTGTGGTAGGCAGAATTTCTAAAATAGCCAACTTAAACTGTACTAATCTGTAGTGAACAGTTTCACACATTTTCCACCACATCGTGTGGTGTAAAATGGCAGAATTGTTCACTACAGATTACTAAATTGTTGTTGTTAGGTGAGGTCAAGTTGCTTCTGACTCATAGCGATCCTACATACACCAGAACGAGACACTGTCCAGTCCTGCGCAATGACACAAGTAAGTCCGTGCTTACCTTGCTTATTGGGAAATCCATCCCTGGTTGCACCCTAATCCCCAGAAGCTGTGAATATGCTGAGATATCAGTCCCATGATTACATCATATTCAACAGCACAGTTGACTTTAGCCTAGGGAGATTATCCAGGTGGCCTAATGTAATCACCAAACCAAACCGTTGTCGTCCAGTCAATTCTGACTCATAGCGACCCTAGAGGACAGAGTAGAACTGCCCCATAGGGTTTCCAAGGAGCAGCCGGCGGATTTGAACTGCCAACCTTTTGGTTAGCAGCTGTATCACTTAACTACTGCACCACCAGGGCTCCCATGTAATCACAGGGGCCCCTTTCAAAGCAGAGAGCTCTCTAGTGGCAGAAAAGGAAGTCAGAGAGATTTGAAGTATGAGTACTGAGTTCAGCTGGCTCCTTGATTTCAGCCTTGTGATACCCTGAGTAGAGATCTCAGCCATGCCTATAGAATTGTAACCTATAGAACTGTGGGATAAATAGGTGTGGTTTTAAACTGCTAAACTGTGATAATCACTGATAAGCAATATAAACCAGTAACACCATGTCTCAATCAATGAAAGCAAGAAAGCAGAAACTTTCATCTCTAACACCCAAAGTTTAGTAACGATGTCTAAACATAAACCAAGGCCACCAGTGAATATATAGGAGGAAGTAGCATTGTTATTATCTTACTAAGGCAATATAATTTTTTTTTAATTCCTCTACCATTAAAAACTCACTACTGGGTCTGAATCGTCCAGAAATTATAAGAGTTAACTTTGTTTTTAAATGGAGGGGAGGCCAACAAGACGGGGCCAACGAGAGGGGGTTGTGGTTACTGGGGGGGGGATATCTATTTTAATGAGTAGAAAGGAGCACATTACAAATATCAACAGGAAGAACTACAATTAAATGTGAATTATTTGCTTCATTGAAAGAGCAACTAGAATAGATTCTTTTGACTGAATATTGGGCTGGCAAACTTCCTGCAAGCTTCCAGTAACTGACCCTTTGTCCCCAGGCTGTGCCCTTGAAATTAAATAGACATCCCCTAATCACCCTTTGACATTCCTCTGCAGACAGAACACAAGCGAATAGACCTCGCCCAAAGTAACACGAGATCTGAAATATTTCCCAATTTGGTTAACGCTTAATTTTGTTTCACAATAAAAGGCAAGGCTGAAAAGCCAGACTTCAAAATTACAATATATTTAAAAGGAACTCCAAATGTTATAAAACCCTGAATGTATTATAGCTTCGGATCAATTGTTTTAAAAGTAATTTTCACACACACACACAAATTTTTGTATAGAAAAAAAAAATGACTCCCAAAGCTTAGGCAACATTTCCCCTATTTTAGGAAATGATTAATCCTGGAGAATTTCAGTGCAATGCAAGCATTTTGATAAAGCCTGCTGCAATATACTGAAATTGGATGGGATTCATTCCTAAATGCTATAGAGCCACATTCAGAACACATAAATATACACTTTGTGTATTTGAGGGCTATCTTTAAAACTTGGGTTTATGTAAAATGTATCTGAACAGGGCATGATAGAGCCCAGACTGGAATTTAAGTATTATCTGACCTGTCTCCTGGCAACTCAGGTCTGTCTAGACAGTGAAGAAAATTTACCCTGGGTCTTAAACGAGGCAGCGTGAGGTTGGTTGGCCCAGGTTTTTCTGGCTGGCCCAGAAAAGAATCACATTTCTGCATTGTAGGCTTTTCAGCTGCAGTTGTGTGCCTGATGGAAATTTGCATTCTTACTGACCTCTCAGCAGTATGGACCACATGAGTCTCTCTATCTTCTCTCACATTTTGCTGTTGTTAAAATATACATTCATTGAAACTCTTCCTGCCCACACAAATGCTGCTGGTTTTGGAGGGGCAGAGTTCACCCCCTCCCCGTCCCCCATGTCCTGCTATTTTCCCGCTCTTTCCAATGCACTCGAAGCACTCTGAGACTTCCTGAATTTTTTGTTTTGCTCTAACAAAGTGTGAAACTGCAACAAACCATTAGAAGGTGAAAACAAATAGGACAAATGAAAGCAGAGTGTGGATTTGACATCCCACGCTGGGTGCAGAAAACGTCACAGTTTTCTTCTGCCTTGGCCTCCTTCCACCAGGATTGGTGGGACTTCCCATCTCAGTCATTTTTCAGTGAATAATTCTGCCTCCTTGGGAAACCCAGGGGCATATACAAGTCTCTGGTCTTCAGTGTATGGTAGCGACTATGAGATGTTCATTGCTGAAGCCCCTGGTCAATCCAGAGGATGGTGGCTCTGCTATTTCTGGCACCCACTCCCTCTGCCCAGGATCAGTACCAGGACTGCAGCCAAGAAGCCATGCTCCCAGTGCTCAGATTTAATCGAATGGCCCCCATGCAGCCACCGCCAGCAGAAGTCTGTCCACTGCTAGGGGGTGGCCTGGAAAAAGAAGCTGGCACTCTTTCATCTCACAGAATCCCACTGCCTCTGGGGTTGACCAGCTCTCTTTCACTTCAGCCTTGGAGTCTTCCCAGTTCAGGTTTCCCATGAGCCCAGAGCAGCCCACCTCCATTAGAATACACTAGCATGTTTGTTAGTAAATGCAGATGCCTGAGCCCCGTCCCAAACCCACAGAATCAGAATCTATGGGGGTGGGCCCGGGGATTTGCATTTTACCAACATCTTCAGCAGATTCACATTAAAACTTAACAACCACTAGCCTAGAGTCCTAGACACTTGAAAATCGAGATCTTTAAACTGCAACTGTTAAAGCTGAGACCTCCGGGAGAAGCCCTGCTCTTATCTTGAAGAAGGCAAGGGAAAATGTATTTCACTCTTTGGGGATGAATTGAGGAAATAAGACACAGTTTATTCCTCAATCACGTTATCTGGCCCCACAGGGACTGAGTGGAAAATATCATGAAAAGCAGGAGACGCAGACACGCACACATAAAACGAAGGTCAGTCGGAATGTGACCAGGTTTATCTAAGTTGAAGAGACCACGGTTGTGCAGGAGCTCGTCAAAGCCCAGGTTGTAAGTGGGTCCTCCCCAGTAGACGGGTGGCATTGACCACAAATAAATCCCACTGAGCTGTCCAGAGTCTCTGGTTAAAAATAATCACGTATGAATCAGTTCAAAAGTTTGAATACCCAACTCAACTTCCTTTCTTTCTTTCTTTTTTCCCCACTCTTGGCTACCATTTACTTTGCTGACATTTTTAGCAAAGTTTTAAACAACTATGAATCAGCCACTAACCAGCATATAAACATTCAATGCTCAAGAATTTGTGGTAGTGAGGGATTAAAAAAAAAACGGGAGCAATTTAAAATCACAGGTAATTTTAAAAGCCACACACAGTGCATGTATAAATTCCAGCCTTGGTTTAGTGCTGCCAAGAGAAATAAAAATGACAGAGTGAATTCAGTTTCATTAATTTTACTTTTTTTAGGGGTAAAAGAAGGATACACACACATTTTGAAGTCTCAAACTCCATACTGATTGCTTATAAACTCAAATTGTTCCAATAGCTAAAAGAGGTACAACGAAAGTAGGAAATATCTTAATTGTTTCACCTTAAAATTTTACTTTAATCTTGTATTCTTGTATTTACTTTAATCTTGTTTTATATGAAAATCTTGGGGAAAATACTCTGGTAAAAGGCACCCTGTGCTTATGGCATCTTCACAGATGGTTCTTTGCCATATACAGATATGGGACACCTCACATAATTAAAATAACAAAACTAACTGCCAGCTCTCTACTTCATTTTTTGGAAGCATCTCTACAACAATAGACAAACATTTAATGTGATGAAGTCATCAATTTCTCTTTAATTAAAATATTATCCCCAGAAATGATGGCTTCTCATAAAGTTGTCTTCTTTTCCTTTGCAGAGAACATTACAATACCTATCTTCAAAATGGCCCGGATAGAATTGGAAGTGTGTACAAGAAGGCCCTTTATCAGCAGTACACAGATGGAACCTTTGGGACAATTATAGAAAAACCACCCTGGCTAGGGTTTCTAGGCCCTATTATCAAAGCTGAGATTGGAGATAGAATTTTTGTACACTTGAAAAACTTTGCTTCCAGGCCCTACACTTTTCATTCCCATGGAATAACTTACCTTAAGGAACATGAGGGTAAGTTCAGCCCATGTCCCAGCTGAAAATTCCTTTTACTATTCAGTTGTTGTTGTCGTTAACTTATTAGAGTGTGGACCCTCTCTGGATAAGAGCTTAACTGTGGGATTTAGCTCTAAACTTTTTCATTAACAGGTATTTCGCTTCATCGTAATAACGAGGCATTTCTCTTGGTCATGCTTGTTTGTGTGAAGTATGCGTGATGGTATTTCTGAGTGAGTTTGGATCGTGAAAATCAGTGACAGCTCGGATTTCCAGTGTCCGATTCCTTCCCAGCCAAATAGTCAGAATAGAAATGGGGAATGTGCATCAAAGCCTAGAAAGGGCAAAAATCTAGAGGAAAGAAAAAAGGTCTCAAGAAGAAGGTTGTCTTATCTCTGAAGCTTCTACATGTGAACACTCTGTGGCTGTTGTCACCCCCTATCTTAACTTTGGGAAAACTCTGTCCCAGCTAAGACTGCATGAAGAAAAAAAAGAAAAACCAAACCCACTGCTGTCGATCTCATACTTTAATTCAATGGTGGACGAGGCTGGATGATCCTAGGGTCCCACCTGAGACACAATTAACTAAAAGAGCCATTTGCATGTAGGACTTAAAGATGGTACACGAAGAACATGTGGTTTCCTTATTAGTACTTGATGATGATGATGACGTAAAAGCGGTGGTTTTGTTGTTGTTAAAAGCAAGGGCTTTGAAATTAATAGACCAAGATTTAAGTCTTGCCTTTTACTGGCTGAGCAACCTTGAGGAATTTACTTAAATCCTCTGCATCAGTTTCCTCATCTTTAAAATAGGGACAATGATGGTATATAGTAAGAGCTTGATAAATGTCAGTTATTATCATAGGCAAAAATCCTGAGGTCAAGCTACAGTTCATTGAAATTATAAGGAACAAGTCTGGAAAGTAATACAAAATTACACTTGATTAACTACTAGTCTTTTTTTTTTCAAGAGTGAATGTTTTAACCATATCTATTCTTATTTTTTCTGAGCCAAGCAATTACATTCATAGCATAAGTGGCTGACTGCCACATTTTTTTTTTATAATTTCATGGTGTATTAATGAATCATTTTTAATTTTTTAGGTATAATAATAGTATTATGGTTACATTAAAAGAAAAAAGAGTTTTGCTTTTTTTTTTTTTTTTTTTTTTTTAAAAAAATTTTTTTTTTTTTTTTTTTTTTGGTAAAGACATTTCTTTATTCTTAAACAAACAGTAGAACATGGTAAGACCTGGCTCCACACCTGACTCTTTTCTCTTAACCATGTACCTTAGAGGTCATTTTTGTGCTGTTCCTGTTTTTCATGGTTGCATAGTATTCCATTGGGTGGATGGAGACCATGCTTTATTTAATTAGTGAAGGGTACTTTTGTTGTATAGACAATTCTGCAGTGAATATCCACAGTCATACACCTGGTGCTCACGTGTAAGGACACCTCTAGGATTTATTACAAATTGGAGCATCAGCAGGTGTATGCAGCTGATAGAAACTGCCAGATTTTCCTTCAGAGAGATTGTGCCAATGTACAAAAAAGTTCCGATCTTTTAGAGATGCAGACTCATGTATTTATGAATGAAATGCTATGATGTCTGGGGTTTGCTTTAAAATAATCTGATGGTGATGTGGAGGAGAGTGGGGGGGGCAGAGATGAAACGAGGTTGGCCTTGAGTTAACGACCGTTGAAGCTGGGTGATGGGGACATGAAAGTCATCATATTATCTCTCTACCTTTATATATGTTCAAAAATTTCCAAAGTTTAAAGGAAAACATAGTAAAGTTCCATGGTTTCTTTATGAACAAATATATAAGTTTGCAATTATAGGAAAGTGTAGCTATTTTGCTCATACTTTCATACCATGACCCCAGAGCAAAAGTGGTTCTTTAAATTACGAATCAAAAGTCACCATGCTCCTGATATATCTATTAATGCTCCCTGATGATTCAATCAAGTATAAAAAAAAATACCAAAATTTTCTGTGATGCTTCCAGACCCCCTAGTCATCAGCCTCTCATTCCACTGAGATCAAATAGGATATCACTGCATCCTTAAGGCAGTCAGTCACACACTAGATGTTCAATAAATGTTTGCTGAATGAAGTAATGGACTATCTAGTCCCTCATTTAAGTTCAAACACATTCACTTTGTAACTTCCTATCCTGTTGCTTCCCAGGGGCCATCTACCCTGACAACACCACCGATTTTCACAAAGCAGATGACAAAGTGTATCCGGGCGAGCAGTATGTGTACATAACGTATGCCAATGAAGAACAAAGTCCTGGTGAGGCAGACAGCAACTGTGTGACCAGGATTTATCACTCCCACATTGATGCTCCAAGAGATATCGCCTCAGGGCTCATTGGACCTTTAATAGTCTGTAAAAAAGGTACATTTCTCATTATTGTTCACGATATATGACCAAAAGTAAGGCAAAGGCAGCATAGTTTGTTTTTTAAATATGTTAAGACTTCTGCGTTGAGATTGAGTAGATACGGTAAAGAGGTAGTGAGACTAGAAAAAAGGAAAGGAAGAGCAAGGCAGGGCCAGGAGAAGGGAGAAATGGAACAAGCATTCATATGAGAAAACCACCGGTGAACCAAGCTGAAAGAAATACCAGGATATATGTACAATATGGATGGAGCTGGAAGACATTATGCTGACTGAAATAAGTCAATCACAAAAGAGCAAATATTGCATGACCTCACTTATATAAAAAGACAAGAAAAGGCAAATGTATAGAGAACAAAGTTTAGTAGTGGTTACTGGGGTGGGAAGGAGGGGGAGATGGGGGGTTAATAGTGATGGAAATATCGCATTGATTAAGGGTGGGGTTGCACAACCAATTATTGTAATTGCTGTCAATAAATTGTACACCTGTAAAAAGATGAATTGGCAAAAGCTGTGTGATAGATATATTTACAACAATGACAAAAAAAAAGAGTAGCTACTGAGGCCGCTTATGTACAACCAGAAACCTCATAGGATTTGGTTTCTTGGTTTGGAGGTTTACGGTCATGGTTTCATGGAATATCTTAGTTAATTGACCTAATAATATGCTCAGTGTTTCTGTTCTACCTCCCAGTTCATTGCGTAGTGCCTGGAGTCTTAAAAGCTTGCAAGCAGCCCTCCAAGGCACAGTAATTGGTCTCTATTCATCTGGAGCCACAGAGGAAGAAGGAGTGTCAGGAATAGGAGAAGGATATGGAATGTGTGGTTAATTGCCTCCATTAACAACTGCCTCCTTTGCATGAGACCAGAAAAACTGGATGGTGCCCAGCTACCATTATTGAACATTTTGAGCAAAGATTCTATAGAAAAATCCTGATCAAAAGGGGGACAATGTAGAACAGACTTAAATTATCATGGACTCCATACTTCTTGGAGCCATGAAGGTTGAATGAACCCCTGAAACTACTGCCCTGAGATAATCATTAAACCTTAAACCAAAAATATCCCCTGAAGTCTTCTTAAAACCAAACAGTAGTTTAGATTAACTAGTAAAAAAAAAATCTACCTTGAGCATTGTACTCCTTTAAGAACTATCTATATGGAATCAAAGTGACAACAGCAACTTGAAAGATTAGACAGGAATCTTAGGGGGCAGTGAATTTATGTTAATGGGGGAGGAACAACTCAGAAAAGGAGGGTGAGAATGGTTAATGGCTGCACAACTTGAAAGAATGTAATCAACGTCACTAAATGGTGCATGCAGAAACTGCTGAATTGGTGTATGTTTCGCTGTGTATATTCTCAACAACAACAACAAAATTAATAAAATTGAAAAAAAAAAACATATATGAGGATAGGTCTGCTAACTTCCAGCAGTGTTACCGAAGAGATGTATGACTTTACCAAATGTGATTCCTTTAGGGGCACTCAATGGTGAGGGATCTATAGCTATCTGTATTGTATTGGTAAGTCTATCATACTATCTCTTTCTATCATCATGAAAAAGACAATATAGCTCAAGAAATTACAATCTAATTCTTACTTGAACAATAATTCGTTGTTGCTGTTGTTCTTAGCTGCTGTTGAGTCAGCCCCCGATTCATGGCGACCCCATGCACTACAGAGCAAAATGCTGCTCAGTCCTGTGCCATCATCATGATAAATCACGGATTGGACCATTGTGATTCTTAGGGTTTTCATTGACTAATGTTTGGAAGTAGGTCCCCAGGCCTTTCTTCCTGGTCGGTATGAGTCTGGAAGCTCCACTGAAACCTGTTCAGCATCATATCAACACACAAGCTTCCACTAACAGACAGGTGGTGGCTGCACACCTGGTGCACTGGCTGGGAAGTGAACCAAGTCTCGCGCATGGAAGGCAAAAATTCTACCACTGAACCACCACCACCCCGGAACAATGATCAGTTACCTGCAAAGACTTGTTGTCTTAGTTTGTGGTTACATGGCCAGAAGATGTATGCAAAACTCTGAATTCCAATCTTCCCTGTTGCTAAATAGCATGTAACGGTTATGTGACCAGCAGACATCCAAATACATGAGTGTCTCCCAAGCCTGGGGTACTGACCATGAGATTCTCTTAGTGTTTCCGTGTCTGTATAACAGGGGCAATTGGTTATGATTTGTAGGTTATCAGGAAAACAACATTAAAATTAAAAAATATATAAATCACTTGAAAACATACACCAAAATTAACGCTAAAAAGTAAGTTCTACTAAAATAGTAATTTTCACTTCAGATTCTCTGGATAAAGAAAAAGAAAAAAACATTGACCAAGAATTTGTAGTGATGTTTTCTGTGGCGGATGAAAATTTCAGCTGGTACCTAGAAGACAACATTGAAACGTACTGCTCTGAACCAGAGAAAGTCGACAAAGACAATGAAGACTTCCAGGAGAGTAACAGGATGTATTGTAAGATTACAGAACACATGCTAATTTTGCTTTTTTCTTTTCTTGGTCCAATAATTCTGCTAAACTTCTCCCTCACATGAATGAGTAGTGTGTTTCTAGTCTGTGGCACTGATAACAAAGCATATTGGATGTGCAACTTGATATTCAGCTGAACGGGTCAAATCAAAACTCTAAGCCTGGTAAAGCCACTTATTCCCAAAGTGGTAAGGATAAAACTTGTTCCCAAAGTGATAAGGATAAAACAACATTATCAATGATGGTTTAATATGCATGTCTGTTTATGCTTGTATATTTATTTATCATTAACCTCATTCTAAAAATTATTTGAGCTGCCTAAAATTAGTAAAATAATACTATATTTTCTTAAACATACTTAGATGCTTTACAATATAGTATTATAGTATTACAAAGCATCTAAGTATATTTAAGAAAACAGTTCAAACTGCTAATTCTGAAAGGTATTCCTTTTAAATACTATGTTATCCCTTACCACCCCGCCTACGCTACATCATTCTTCTTTATAGTTTAGCTTACTCCATTTCTTCTAGAAATGCCTTCTCTACTGCCTAAAAAAACAAACAAACAAACAAAAACCCAAGCCCATTGCTGTCAAGTCATGTCCAACTCATAGCGACCATATTCCATAGGACAAAGTAGAAGTGCTCCATAGGGTTTCTAAGAAGCAGCTGGTGGATTTGAACTGCCAGCCTTTTGGTTAGCAGCCGAGCTCTTAACCACTGAGCCACCAAGGCTCCAATATGTGTCGTTTCTAACAAAAAGAGCAAGTAGGTTTCATCTCCAGGATTGTGTTCATCTGATTCTTGTTGACAAGAATCCAGAGATTTAATTCAGGTTCAGTGGGAAAGAATATGGTGATTATCAATGCCCGATATGGGTCTAAGGAGCCCTTCTGGCACAGTGGTTAAAGCTATTGGCTGCTAACTGAAAGGTTGGTGGTTCAAAACCACCAGAGGCTCCGCAGGAGAAAGATGTGGCAGTCTGCTTCCGTAGAGATTTATAGCCTTGGAAACCCTATGGGATCCTATGAGTTGGAACTGACTCAACAGCAGTGGGTTTGGTTTTTGGTTTTGGATATGGGTATGGGAGGGAGGAAGAGCAGCATGTGTGCCAGGTATTTTCCATTCCAAATTGATCCTGTGGCTGTAGAAGTTACTAACATTATCCTAGGCACCAGTGTCCGTTCGTCACAAACCCCCTGCTCTTGACTTGCAGCTGTGAATGGATACACTTTCGGAAGTCTCCCGGGACTCACCATGTGTGCAGAGGACAGAGTGAAGTGGTATCTTTTTGGCATGGGTAATGAAGTTGATGTGCACTCTGCTTTCTTTCATGGACAAACACTGACTAACAAGAACTACCGTATTGATACAATCAATCTCTTTCCTGCTACCCTTTTTGATGCATTTATGGTGGCCCAGAACCCTGGAGAATGGATGCTTAGCTGTCAGAATCTAAACCATCTCAAAGGTAAGGCATCTTTATCTGCAATTAGCTGTCAGTTGAAAAAAGAGCCATATCTGAGTCACATATTCATTGGGTATCAGAATCTAAAAGTTAAAAATATCTTTGGAATAATCTAAACTTTGAACTGGTTCATTAGTTTTAGTCTTATGATGTTATGTGTCATAATGTAATGAAAAGACTGAAAGACAGAAACATTTATAAAATAATGAAATGTGAAAATACGTTAATTTCTGGAAAAGAACAATTGGCCCTAAAAGTGTAGTATATAGTTTCTCAACTTTGCAAAATACCACAACATTGTAAAAAACCAGAAGATTTGTATATTATGTGGAAAAGAAGTCTATTTTTTAAATTGATTACATCAAGTACAACCATCTTTGCTCTTTGAGTTCAGCTATAGCCACTATGGAGCACTGGTAGCACAGTGGTTAAGAGCTTGGCTGCTAACCTAAAGGTCAGCAGTTCAAATCCACCAGCTTCTCCTTGGAAACCATATGGGGCAGTTCTACTCTGTTCTGTAGGGTCGCTATGAGTCAGAATCGACTCAATGGCAATGGGTTTGGTTTTTGGTTTTTTATTCCCTGATTTAGCTTAGTAAACCCCTCTTCCATCTGTTTAGTATAAGGTGATTAAATTGTTCCTAATTCTTGAAAAATATTAGTTTGTAATATTGTTCTCCTGAAGAAATTAGGTCTAATCTAGGTCTTTGTAGAGCACGGGTATGTTACGTTGACCTTCAAACATAATCTCAACTATCCAGTATGACCTGGGCCAAGAAGGCCTCACACGACAGGTGTAAAGCTGCTCTGTGTGAGAGAACAATAACAGTACAGGCTCTATTCTTCCTTCACTCCACCCTACCCCCTAAAAACATTGAAGTCCCTGTGCTTTGTTTATCTATAAACTTGTCCTTTTTCTCTCATTAAAAGAACCCTCAAGTGAAGCCCTTTTTCTCTCATTAAAAGAACACTCAAGTGAAGCCCAACAGACGCTGGTACCATATTTTGAAAACACTGGTGCTTATAACCGTCTCTATTCAAACTCTGCTTGAATTCTCCATCAGTAATTTATTTACAGCCATTGAGTCTCTGGGTGGCACAAACAGTTAAATGCTCAACTACTAGCCGAAAGGCTGGTGGTTCGAACACACCCAGAGGCACAGCAGAAGACAGCCCTGGCAATCTACTTACAAAAGGTCACAGCCTTGAAAACCCTACGGAGCATAGTTCTACTCTGCACACACGGGGTCACCGTAAGTGGAACTGAGCCCACAGCAACTAACAACTACCACCCTATTTTTTACAGTCTCTATTTCTTCGACTCCCTTCTGTCATTTCACTAACAGTGTTTACAAGGCAATAGGAGAAAGAAACATTTGGCTTCATTAACCAATGCTTCCTTCTCTTTCATTTCCAGCTGGTTTACAGGCCTTTTTCCAGGTGCAGGACTGTAAGAAGCCTCCATTGGAGAATGATATCCTTGGGAAGACTGTTAGACACTACTACATTGCCGCTGAGGAAATCATCTGGAACTACGCACCCTCTGGGATAGACATCTTCACCAAAGAAAACTTAACTGAACCTGGAAGGTAATTCAGAAAAAATGCACCCTTCCCCCCACCCCAATAACCATCAAAGACTGACTCAGGAATTAAAATTCTAATCGGTATCTGATATTAATTACACTGCTAAGTAATTATTAAGGCGTTTGGTATAAGACTCCCAGTTTGAGAACTATGAATTTTGAGTTCATGAAAACAGATGGGTTTAAAGGTTATCAAATATTCAACAAAGTCCTAAGAAAATACTGAACACAATTGGAGAGATCAATTTGTTTGCTTTCCGTTTCTGAAAACTTATCATTTTGAAATAGAGAAAAAAAAATGTAGTAGTAGTGTGATTTTCACAATCTTATAATACAATTTTACAGAAATTTTATCTTTACTTTTGGAAATAGCTCCCACTCCAGATGTGCTCTGTGCTATCCTTGCTTTCAGGCAATTACTCCTCTTTCTCCTTCTGCCTGGAATACCCTCCCCATTTGAATCTATACTGGTCAGAAAGTTCTACTTTGAAATATACCCTGGATCTCACCACTTCTCACCCCCATGCCCTCCTACCACCCTAGACCAAGTTCTTCTTTTCTACACATCTGGATGACTTCCATAGCCTCCCAATCATTCCTCCTGCCTCAGTCTTCCTTTCCTACAACTCATTCTCTACAAAGCAGTCAAGGTGACCTGTCAAAAATGTCAATCACATCATGCCCCTCCCCTGATGCAAGTCTCTGCTCAAATGTCACCCCCTCAGAGAAGCCCTGTTTGCCATTTGTCTAGAAAATCTCCTCCTTGGAGAAGTTAAATAATGTACCCAAGGTCACACACAACAGATCAATAGCTAGTCCTGTCTCCATTTGAATCGATGATTCCTGAGTAGAGATTTCACTCCCATACTACACTGCCATCCAGAGGCTGATGACCCCCAAATCTGCACCTCCAGCCTGGAAGTCTCTCATAAATTTCATATTTGCATTTCAAACTGCTTGCTGGATATTCCCACTTGGATGAGGCCCTTCCAACACAAAATACCCAATCCTAAACCCACACTCTCCCCTGCAAATCTGGGTTTCTTCTTTCAATGAATGGATGGTCATCCATCCATCCATCCAAGTGCCCAATCCCCAGATCTGAGCACCATCCTTGACCCTTTCTCTCTGTCACCACTCCCTCCTCTTCACATCAGTCCTGCCTCCTCATAACCCAAATACCTCTGAAAGCCATCTGCTTCTCTCTATCCTCTTTGCCAGTACCTCTGAAGCCATCAACACCTCTCAATGAGATTATAACAGTAGCCTTCTGACTGGTCTCCCTACTGCAGTCTTGCATTTTCCAACCCATTCTCCATGCAGCAGACAGAGATCCTCCTAAAACACAAATCCTGAATGCTGAAACCTTTCAAAGGCTTCCCATTGCCCTGGAATAGAGTACTGAATCCTTAACTAGGTCCTATTGCCCATCCTCCCATCTCTCTAAGTCTCACCGTCAGCTCCCCTGCCCTGCATGGTGCCCTCCTGCCATACTTTCTAGAACATGCCATGCTCCATCTCTCCTCTGAAAATCTTTCCACTTTCCAGACTGCTTCCTCTTCTTAAACATGCACCCGTTCTACCACCCCCACCACTCTCACACACACACACTACATCTTGTTAACTCTACTGCTCTTCTGTTGTTGTTGTTAGCTGTTGTTGAGTCGACCCCTGATTCATGGCAACCCCATGCACAACGGAACAAAACGCTACCTGGTCCTGTGCCATCCCCATGATCAGTTGCGAACTGGAGTATTGTGATCCGTAGGGTTTTTACTGGCTGATTTTCTGAAGTAGATCACCAGGCTACTTTCTTTCTAGTTCGTCTTAGTCTGGAAGTTCTGCTGAGACCTATTCAGCATCATAGCAACATGCAAGCCTCCACTGCCAGATGTGTGGTAGCTGTGCACTCTTTATACATGCTAAGCTATCTAAAGGCTGCTCCTTTAGATAGTTTTTTAAAAAAATAACTTTCTCAGGGAAGCCTTTTTGGCCCCTCCCCACCACTTCCCCAAACCCCAGGAAAATGGTCTCTGACACTCTGTGCTTATTATACATTCATAAGCATGTATGAGAATATATTCTTCTACGTGAACCACTGATTGGTTCATAGTCTGTCTTTGATAGCTGCAAGCTCTGTGTGGACAGAGACGGATGATCTCATCAGCAGGTAGCAGAGTTTCTGGCAAAGAGCAGGTGCTCAAGACACTTGTCGAATGAAGTGATGAGCAGGTGGCTTTGTGCGAGTCACAATATCTTCTGGAATGTAACTTCTTCAATTGTAAAGCAGGGAGAAAAATACCATCTTTGCTGCATTGTCATGCAAGTTTCAAACAGTCAATGAATGAAAGTCCCTGAGCGCCTGACGTGTGCTAATACTCAGTAAACACTACCAAAAAAAACAAATTCGTTACCGTCAAGTCGATTCCAACTCATCGCAACCCTATAGGACAGAGTAGAGCTGCTCCATAGGGCTTCCGAGGAGCAGCTGGTGGATTCAAACTGCCGACCTTTTGGTTAGCAGCCGAGCTCTTAATCACTGCGCCACCAGGGCTCCTGTTATTTTGTCCCTGAGTGCTGCAAACAGTTAACACACTCAGCTCCTAACCGAAAGGCTGGCGGTTGCAGTTCACCCAGAGGCCCCTGGAAAGAAAGCATGGACGATCTACTTCCAAAAAAGCAGCCACTGAAAACCCACGGAGCCCAGTTCTACTCTGACCCACATGGGGTCGCCGTGAGTCAGAGCAGACTGGTCAGCGTCGACTCATCGGCAACATTTTTTTTTTTTACTGTTATTTAAACATTTCATAATTTGATAAAAAGACTCTATTATAAAATAATTTATCAACTATCAGGTGTCGGCCCTCTTGAAATGTTTTCATTTCCCTTGAAAAAGTGAAACCTCTATTCCATGATTCTTCCCTCTTTCCCTGGTCCTCCTTCTATAAAGTAGCCTAGTACTGTCTGATTTTTTTTGCATATCTATTATGGATTACCGTAAATCATGGATAGTAATCATCTCTAAGACTGGCCAGATTTTTTTCACTTCAATTAGTACCCCACATGAACACCTGCTTTCTGTTCTACTTCAACTCCAGCATTAAACCCTTTTCCTTTTGGCAGTGAGTCAGAGGTGTTTTTTAAACAAGATGCTACAAGAATTGGGGGCTCTTATAAAAAGCTGGTTTATCGTGAGTACACAGATGCCTCCTTTGCAAATCGAAAGGAGAGAAGCCCTGAAGAGGAACATCTTGGCATCCTGGGTGAGTCTGTACAGAATATATACGGCTGCTGTACTCTTTCCACGGACTGCACCAATCTCAGAAAGAATACAAACTGCAGGGCTTGTAGCCATGATTTCTACTTATAAACTAAGGATGGGATGGGCTCTGTCATCAATAAAATGCAGCAGTTAGTGACTTTTCAAAATGTAAATTATCGGTGGTAAATCCTCATCATTAAAAGCCAGGCTGACTTCAAATGATTATTGCACTTATGTGACTTGGTTTAAGTAGATAACTAAGTCGTTGCAACGTTCCAAGTAAAACAATCAGACAGTGCATGGCTCTTTGGATTAGAACAAACCATTGAACTGCTCACTATGTGGTCACAGGCCTTTCTTACTTACATATTAATCCAGACGATGATGAACAGAGTAGGGTTTATCAGGACCCAGGTTTCCCCAAAAGGCCCCTGTCCAAGGATGAAATGTTTAGTCACCTCCATGCGCACCCCTCAATGCGCCATGGGCAAGGGAACAAAGGGGAACTCAGGCCTGAGGTTTTTATAATATAAACCAGAGGGATATACATGCTGGATTTCATGGGAAGGGCAAAAGTGGGTAAGAGGAAGGGGTCTTTGTTCAGGCACACCTTGCCTGACTGTCCTGTTATCAGGTGGATATCTTTTGTTTAAGTGTAAAACAGCATAACCAGAAAGAACATTCCTTCCCCTCTAGCTACCAGATTAATTTTGTAAGCCTACATTTTCTGATTAAGGATAAAAACACCAAGGGGTCAGTTCCCCACAGGGCACATTCTTTCATGTTACTGTAGCCATGGAGATGGTGGGGTTGGCCAAGTGCCATAAGATACCCATGCATAAATGAGAGACAAAGAAAATAACTGTCAGCTCAGAACAGGAAGGAAGGCTTCTCTGACAAGAATTAGGGATTGCGAGAGAGAGACCCAATTCCTAGCTTCTTTATCAAAGAATATTCTGAGCCCAAGCCCTCAGCTTAGGCAGCCTGGATGGGAATCATAGAGGCAGACCACCCTCTCAACAGTCGTTAACCTCTGCTCTCAGCTAAGGGCATATTCCCTCAGAAATCAAATCCAGGCTACTGTGAGGGTGAGACAGGCTGGCTTGTCCCAGAGACCTCTGCATGCTGCCCTAAGGCACAGCCCAGAGGCATTTTGACTAGGCTATGGGCAGCACAGCATAGCGGGTGAGCCAACGGTGAGTGGATTCAGACTATCCTCACTCTTCACCTGTTGGCTGTGTAACCTTTGAAAGTTACTCAACCTTCTATGCCTGTTCCCTTTTGCAAAATGGGAACAACGATAGTCCCTACCTCATAAAGTAGTTATAAAAAAAAAACAACTAAACCCGTTGCCATCGAGTCGATTCTGACTCATCGTGACCCTAGAGGACACAGTAGAATTGCCCCATAGGGTTTCCAAGGAGCGCTGGTAGATCTGAACCAACCTTTTGGTTAGCAGCTGTAGCTCTTAACCACCACACCACCAGGGTTTCCAAGTTGTTATAAAGATTAAATGAAACAGAACAAACAGAATGGAAATAATAAGAATGTTCACGAATTGTGAAGAATGTAACCCATGTCACTGAACAACTTGTGCAGAAGTTGTTGAATGGGAACCTAAACTGCTATGTAAACTTCACTGAAAACACAATAAAATATTATTTAAAAAAAAAGATTAAATGAGTTAATGCACATAAACACTCTCAGTAAATGTCATTTCATGTAATACATATTTACGTATTATATTTCTATGTTTTTATTCTATATTTAGTGATAATATTAATTTTGGTGATGGAAAATCCAAGACAGTATTATCCTTTCTATCCAAGACAATTTAACTTACCTGCTTTGGGTGGTCAAGGGTTATAGCACCCCCACCCCGACTCTTGGCACCAATAGCACACAAATGGGGTCGCCATGCGTCAGAATCCACTTGACAGCAACTACCAACACCAACAACAGAAGACTAGAGTGAAGGGAGTACAGACACTGAATATTTTTGCTGTTGCTGCATAAGGAGCCCAGGCGGTACAATCATTAAGTGCTAGGCTGATAACGAAAAGGTTGGCAGTTCGAACCTACCCAGCTTCTCCACAGGAGAAAGCCCTGGCAGTCTGCTTCCATAAAGATTATCAAACCAAAAAAGAAATCCGCTACCACTGAGTCAATTCCCACTCATAGCGACCGTATTTCCAAGGAACAGGTGGTGGATTCGAACTGCCTACCTTTTCATCAGTAGCGGAGCTCTTAACCACCGTACTACCAGGGCTCTCCATAAAGATTATAGGCTAGAAAACCCTGTAGGGCAGTTCTACTTTGTCACATGGTGTCACTATAATTCAAAAATCATCTTAACTGCACCTAACAACAACAACAAACCTTCTCGACTGACTCGAACAAAAATGACAGCAAATTTCATTAACCTGAACTTGGACCAAAAAGCCTTTCTTACCTCCTTCCACCTTCTCCATGCCAAATTGATAACGGACTTCTAAAAACTCAAACTTTCCATTTGCCACAAATAGGGACGTTGCTCCCCGGGGTTCTTACCAGAGGCCAAGGCCAAAGAAAATTACTGTCTTATGTATTCCGCATGTCATATGCCAAGTGAGGGTAATAATTCTCTCTTTGTCCCCAGGTCCTGTCATTTGGGCAGAGGTGGGAGACACCATCAGAGTTACCTTCCATAACAAAGGAGCATATCCCCTCAGCATCGAGCCAATTGGAGTGAGAGTTGATAAGAACAATGAGGGCACATACTATGCTGCACGTGACCCCCCGAGTGCAAGTGAGTACAGCGCTCTGTAATGAATCAATGATGTTTAATAACTGATTGTGCTGGTCACCCCAAAAAACTGTCCTGCAAAAACTGACAGCAGGAATTTGAGAGGAAAGAGCTCAGATATCACCCTCTGGCTTTGTGCCAGGAGGTAAATAAACCCCTTCTCCCTCCATTTCTAATTGGTTTATGGAATTTTGTCCTGCCTTAGTTGCATGATTGTTGGCAATGCTGATAATAACATATTTGAATTGTATTGATTATACATTTCTAGAGTACTAGTTGGGTGATTTGGAGCCCTGGTAGTGTAGTGGTTATGAGCTCAGGCTGTTAACCAAAAGATCAGCAGTTCAAATCCACCTGCTGCTCCTTGGAAACCCTATGGGGCAGTTCTACTCTGTCCTGTAGGGTCACTGTGAATCGGAATCGACTCAACAGCAATGGGTTTTTAATGGCTATTTGAGTCATTATTAATTTTAAAAAATAGTTTCATAATTATAAAAGGATTAAATGCTCATTTTTAGAATATTTTAAAAATATAGGAAGGCATAAACAAAAATACTTATTATCAATAGTTTGACAGTCAACCACTATTGTATTTTTATAAATATCCCTCTTTCCTCTGTGCATATATAATACATATTTTAAATGTGGTTGAGATCATTGCTGTTAAGTGCCATCAAGTCGGTTCCAACTCATAGCGACCCTATGTACAACAGAAGGAAACACTGCCTGGTCCTGCTCCATCCTCACAATCATTGTTACGCCTGAGCCCATCATTGCAGCCACTGTGTCAATCCATCTCGTTGAGGGTCTTCCTCTTTTTCACTGACCCTCTAATTTACCAAGAATGGTGACCTTCTCCAGGTACTAGTCCCTCCTGATAACATGTCCAAAGTATGTGAAATGTAGTCTTGCCATCCTTGCTTCTAAGGAGCATTCTGGCCACACTTCTTCCAGAACAGATTTGTTCATTCTTTTGGCAGTCCCTGGTATGTTCAATATACCATGAGCTCATGTGATCATAGTATATAAATATATTTATCATTACAATTTTGTTCATATAATTTTGTACCCAGATTTTGTTCTCTCAGCATTATAAGCATTTTATGAATATAATTTTAATGATGTGAAATATTCCACCATGGATGTATTTCGGTATTTTTATATATCAAGGTTGGCCAATGAAGACCAAGATCCAAATACCCTGCTACCTTGGGCAGGTTATTCAGGCTCTCTGGCTGAGTTTCCTCAATTTGTAAAATTGGAAGATTAAACAGGATCATCTGCAAGGCTCCTTTTAGTTCTAAAATTATTTTCAGCTTAGTTTTGCTTAATAAAAATGTATCGATTACTCCTTATAGCCAAGCATTGTTCTACCTGCTGGAAATACAGAGAAATGCCTGCCTTACAGAAGATTAAGTTCCACTGGAGAAGAAATACACACAATATAACATGAAATTGCTCAGGGTCTTCTCAGGCACATGGGAACACAGAGAGGGGCACCAATCCCAGACAGAAGTTTAGAGGAGGCTTCCGGGAGGAAGTCACCCTGTCTGTGGCCAGTTGTGTGAACACAAGGAGGAGTCCATTCTAATTCATAACAAGGAACTCAGAAGTGAGTTAGACTAGACTAAGCCAGTCTACTTTGCAGCTCAAATGACCACATTAGAAAACACTCTAAATCTCTCATGTGACTCTTCTCACAGGTGTGCCTCCTCCTGCCTCCCATGTGGCATCCGCTGCAACGTTCACCTATGAGTGGAGTGTCCCCAAAGAAGTAGGACCCACTTCTGCAGACCCTGTCTGCCTATGTAAGATGTATTATTCTGCTGTGGATCCCACCAGAGACATATTCACTGGGCTTATTGGGCCAATGAAAATATGTAAGAAAGGAGGTTTACATCCAAATGGGAGACAGGTAAGTCCAATCAGGAAAAAATCAAAATGACTGCCAATCTCTTTGAATTACCATCTTCATAAGGAAAATGCTAGGTTTTGAGGTAGCGAGGATAGTATATGTAAGAATATTTATTATAAAAAAAAAGTTCAGACTTATTAGATCAGTATTGCGTAGAGAGTCCCTGGCTAATATGATTGTTTCAAGATGGGTTGGAAAAGAAGTTCTTCCATGGAATACAAGGTTTATTAGGATGCAATACACTTCAACACACACATAAAAATCAGCTGTCAATGATAACAATTTCCTGAACATTCACTGAGGAAAATATTGCTTCAATTTTTTTTTAGAAATGAGAAAATGATCCTTTGATCTGGAAATAGAAATACCTGACCCCATCATTGTTTTTTTTATCTCTAAAATAAGTATTTTAGTATCTTTAAAAGGTAAGGACTCCTTTTAAAATATCCACAATCAAATTATCACACCTAAAAATAATCATCATAATATTCCTTAATATCATCAAATATCCAATCATTGTTCACATTTTCCCAATTGTTTTATAATGGTTTTAAGTCTGTTGTTTGAATAAGAACCCAAATAATTCCACACATTAAGATTTTTCTTTTTGCAATTTTTCTGTTGGAAGAGTCATTTATCCTGTAGAAGTTTCCCATGTCAGGATTTTACTGATGTAATCATTTAACACGTGTCTCTCTCTCCCCTCTATTTTCTATAAAACAATGGCTAGATCTAGAGACTTGATAAGATTCAGGGTTTTTTTTTTTTTGGAAGACTATTTCATACATGATACTGAGAACTCAAGGAGTACATAGCATATAATTGTCTCTTGATTAGGGATATTATCAGCCATTGATGATCATTTCCTAGATTCATAAACTAATGAAGGTTTCTAAAATCATAATATTCCAATTCCATCATTCCTTCTTTATTAGCTGGCATGCTTCAATAAACAGAAACTTCCCTTACTCAACTCTCTGGTTACCCTGAGGTAGGGTAACATCACATATAGGAGAACCAACCAAAAAAACATACCTGTTGCCATCCAGTCGATTCCGACTCATAGCAAAATATAGGAGGGGAATGATAAGTGCTTGATTCTTTCCCTTTATTTACAAGTTCTCAAATTAATAGTTCTCCTCTAGCATTCTTCAGAGGTGCTCCATAATTTCTTTTCTTTTTAAAGAACCCATGGATTTAAACATATTTGGTATGTTTCAATTCATTCTCATTATCCTTACTGATGCTCAGAAGATCCTGTTGTTTGCCATTGAGGGGACTCATTCAGGTTGGCTCCTTCATTCTGATGTGACTCTAGCTGTCCTTGGTGTTTCCTTGCTTTCTAGCACGACAAGTTAGTTCAGGTTTATCTTGCACATTTTCTAAGCCAGACCTGGCATCAGCCATTTCTCAAAAACAGCCCTGTTTATCTTGGGTTAGAAACGACATTCAGAAGCACCATCTGGGAACTGGGGGCGCTTGTTGTTATTGGGTCTCTAGATCTTTTCAGTGGCCAGAACTGGAAAAAAAATTTTTTTACGATAAAATTAATTATGAGTTCATACTGATCCTTGCACTTTAAATTCAGGTCTACAGATTTTTTTTTTTTTTCTTCCTTAACTTTATCGATCTTATATCTTTCTCTCTCTTCAGCTGCACTAAATAAACTCATTTCTGAATGACATCAACATAGTCCTTTGATTCATCCCATGATATATGCACGACAGTCTCAGAATCACAACGTTACCACTCACAACATTATTACTGAAAAGAGTTTCAGATTTGTTTGCTGCTTTTTTTGTCCTTAGAGTACATCCCACCAGGGTTGTTCAGTCAAATTACAGATTTAAAGTCACTTGAAAATTTCCTTTCTGAATAGTTTTGCTGCCGACTGAATACAGATTTTACTTCTTTTTTTTTTTTGTTTCTGTTTTTGGGGGCTTGCTTTTAAAAGTGTAATGTTACTTTATAATTATATAACATATTTACCTGGTTCCAATATCAAAATCAAATCTACAAAAAAGAAGTATATTAAAAGAAGTCTAGCTTCTATCCCCTCTCCCCTGTTTCCTCATTATAGGGAACTTTTTTGTTTAACTTGATGGTTTATTCATCCATCTTTTGCTGTTTTAATAAGCAAATGCATACGTGCTGTCAAGTAGATTCTGACTCACAGCAACCCCATATGTGTCAGAGTAGAACTATGCTCCATAGAGTTTTCAATGGCTGATTTTTTTGGAAGTAGATCGCCAGGCCTTTCTTCCAAGGCACTTCTGGTTGGAAACAAACCTCCAGCCTTTTCGTTTGCAGCTGAGCACATTAACTGTTTGTACCACCCTATCTGACATTGTTTCCAGTCTTTACTTTTGCAAATGGAGCTACAATAGACAGCCTTGTTTATACGTCTTTTTTGTATTTTCTGCCGGCATGAAGTGGTATTTCTGGGTCAAAGGGTAAATGCATATACAATTTTGCTTGATAATGCCGTATTCCCTTCCACAGGACTTGTGTCACGTTTTAGTCCCATGAGGTGGGATTATACGTTTCTCCACAGCCTACCTACAAAGTATGTTGCTAAACTGGTGGATTTTCCCCAATCTGACAGGAGATAAATGGTATCTCTGTAATTTTAATTTGTGTTTCTTTTATTAGGGAGGTTGAGCATCTTTTCAGATGCTTACGAACCATTTTCATTTACTTTCTGTGACCTGTTCATATCTTTGGATGGAGCCCTGGTGGCGCAGTGGTTAAAGCGCTGGACTGCTAACCAAAAGATCAGTGGCTCAAAACTACAATTGGCTCCTCGGGAAAAAGATGTGGCAGTCTGCTTCCGTAGAGATATACAGCCTTGGAAACCCTATGGGGTCACTAGGAGTCAGAATTGACTCGATGGCATTGGGTTTGATCATGGTTTGGTTCTATCTCTAACCTATTTTTCTATAACATTTTTCTTCACTGACTTAGATGTTCTTATATATTAGAGAAAGAAATCCTTTGTCTGAGACATTAGTTGCAAATATTTTTCCTGGTTTGTCATTGTGTTTATACTTTTGCTTATAGATGTTGTTGTTGGCCATGCAAAGTATTTATTTTCATCACCTTTTTCCTTTATAATTCTGTATTTTGTATCATAGTAAGAAAGTTTTCCCAACTCCTAGATTATAAAAGAATTCACCCAGTATGATTTCATTTTTTACATTTAAATCTCTGTTCCATTTAGAGTTTATCCAGGCACATAGTTAGAATTGATCAAATTCATCTTTTTCTGTATGACTATCCAGTTATTTCAACACCATTTATTTTAAAAATCAAACTTTTCTCCATTGATTGAAATGCCACCTTTATCATATACTAAAATTTTCAGGTGCGACTGAGTCAATATCTGAATTTTCGGTTCTGCTCTATTGGTCTCTATTCATGCACCAATTCCATATTATGTTAATTATAGAACCTTTTAAATAGGTTTTAATGACTAGTAGGTCAGTCTTACCTCATTACTCTTCTTTTTCATGGTTTAAATGGCTATTTTTGCTTGCTTATTCTTCCTAATGAACCTTATAAAAATTCGGCTGGCTCCAGAAAAAAAAGTCTGATGATGTTTTTATTGGGACTGTCTTACGTATAGAAAATCACTTAGGGAGGATGGACATTATTATGAGGTTGCCTTATGCTATCCAAGAACATACATCTTCGTATTTGTTCAAGTCTTGTGTTTTTCAGGTATATTTTACAGTTCTCCTCATATAGATTTTGCGTATTTTTGTTAAGCTTAAGTTTATGCTTGATATTTTATTTTCTTTGCTATTCTAAATGGTAACACTATCATTTAAAATTTTTAAAATATATAACTGAAAAAAAATGGTTTTCTACCTTTGTATTTCCATTCTTTGGTCCCTGTGCTCACTTTGGGAAGGAATAAAATGTTTATTAGGGAGCCCTTGTGGTGCAGTGGTTAAGAGCTTGGCTGCTAACCAAAAAGTCAGCCGTTCGAATCCACAAGTTGCTCCTTGGAAACCCTATGGGGCCGTTCTACTCTGTCCTGTAGGGTCGCTGTGAGTTGGAATGAACTCGACAGCGGCGGGTTTGGTTTCTTCTTTCTTAGTGTTTATTAGGAGTCTGTGGCTGGCGCAGTTTACACATCCACTGCTAATCAAAAGATTGGAGGTTTGAGTCCACCTAGAGATGCCTTGGAAGAAAGGCCTTGCAATCCATATCCGCAAAATCAGCCATTAAAAACCCTATGGAGCACAGTTCTACTCTGACACACATGGGGCCACCATGAGTCAGAATCAACTCCACGGCAACTGGTTAAATATTTACTGAATGTCCTCCAGGCACTTCCACACATATTCATTTAATCTTCACAACAACCCAACAGCCTCAGTGTTATCCCCATTTTGCAGCTGAGGAACTGAAGCTCAGTGAGTTGAGAATTAAATGAGTTTCAGCCCCTACACATTTCATCATCTTCAATTTCCAAATGAAGGAATCACACTACAGGAATGTTTAACAGGAGGCATTGAGAGTCTCATCCTGGCTTTTTCACTTACCAGTCATGTTGCTTCAGAGTGTTGCTGCTAGGTGCCGTCAAGTCGGTTCTGACTCTGAACAACCCCGTGTACAACAGAACGAAACACTGCCTCGTCCCGCGCCATCCTCACAATTGTTGCTATGCTTGAGCCCATTGGGGCAGCCACTGTGTCAATCCATCTCGTTGAGTGTCTTCCTTGTTTCTGCTGACCCTCTACTTTACCAACCACGATGTCCTTTTCCAGAAGTAACATATCCCTCCTGATAACATATCCAAAGTACGTGAGATGAAGCATTTTCATTGTTGTTGATTTTGTGTTTGCTGAGTCTTTGTATTTTTCTTGTTTTTTATTTTGATGTGTAGGATTGTTAGTTTTCTTTGTGGTTACCTTAATATTTACCCCTATTTTTCTAAGTTTAAACCAGTCTGTTATTTCTTTATATTGCCTTGACTTCCTCTCCATATGAAAAATCTACATCTACATTTTTTAGTTCCTCCTTTTTGTTTTAATGTTGTCATCTTTTACATATTGACATCTGTTTCTCTATTTTCAGTGTTTTAGCTTTATTTTTGTGACTTCCCTATCTGGGTTGATATCTGGTTGCTCTGTCCTGTGTTCTAGTTTTGGGTTGTTATCTGATGTTACTGATTTTCTAACCGGAAGACTTCCTTTAGTATTTCTTGTAATTTTGGTTTGGTTTTTGCAAATTCCCTAAACTTCTGTTTATCTGGAAATGCCCTAATTTCGCCATCAAATTTGAGAGACAGTTTTGCTAGATATATAATTCTTGGCTGGCAATTTTTCTCCTTCAAGGCTTTATATATGTCATCCCATTGCCTTCTTGCCTGCTTGGTTTCTGCTGAGTAGTCCAAGCTTAGCCTTATTGACTCTCCTTTGTAGACGACTTTTCGTTTATCCCTAGCTGCTCTTAAAATTCTCTCTTTATCTTTGGTTTTGGCAAGTTTGATTATACTATGTCTTGGTGACTTTCTTTTTGGATCATGCTTTCTCTTTTTTTTTCAGCAGAGCCGTGGGTATGGGATAGGGGTGGTGAGCATGTTTGTCCAGATGGATTAAGATGGTGTGGATACGTGTTCCAACTCACTTGGAAGGCTATTTCTTCACTTAGATGATTCCTCCCTCAGTCTGCTTCCACCTGCTCAGCCTTACAGGAGTTTTCATGAATGTGGATGGCACCTTCCCTGACTTCCAGCATAGACACATGTCCCGCCATTATACCTTTTTTTTTTTTTTTGGTGGTCGTTTTAACTGGCATGGACAGGGAGAGCAGGCAGTTAGGGAGAGAAGAGACAGAACATTTAGATGAACAGGCTCAAAGTATCACATTGAATCAAAAATCCATTGCACATATACTAAAGAAAACTCTAGTGGTCAAATGGAGTATTTCATGAGCCCAAGTTCACAAAGAGGAACTGAAACTTCTCATCTTTCCTTTAGTGTGCTTGTGTACAAATAGTATTGTGTACATGGAAGTCTTTCTGCCTTACTTATTCTCATCCCATTGTTCTTGTTTTGATTTGCAGAAAGATGTAGACAAGGAGTTCTATTTGTTTCCCACAGTGTTTGATGAGAATGAGAGTTTACTCCTAGATGATAATATTAGAATGTTTACAACTGCACCTGATCAGGTGGATAAGGAAGATGAAGACTTTCAAGAATCTAATAAAATGCACTGTGAGTACTAAACCATTCACCAATCTATCACACTCTTTCAATACTGCATACATAATGCTTTTATTAAACCCAAACACTCCATGAGGAGCTTTGTTCCTTGATTTTCAACGAAGGATTAAATACAACAGTGCTCTGAGGATAATGAGCTGTTGTGGCGCAGTGGTTAAGGGCTCAGCTGCTAACCAGAAGTTTGGCAGTTCAAATCCACCAGCCGCTCCTTGAAAACCCTATGGGGCAGTTCTATTCTGTCCTGTAGGGTCACTGAGTTGCATCAGGTTCGGTTTTTGGTTTTGGCTGAGGATGATAATCATTGCTTATTTAGGGTGTCAGTCAATCACTCATCATTTCACTTAACTGGGAATAACTAACCATACAAAATATATTGATTAAAAAAGTTGTTCTCAAAGTGTGGTCCCTGGACCAGCACTATCAGCATCACCTAGAGGCTTATTAGAAATGCAAACTCTCACCCTGAATCAGAAACCTTGGTGGTAAGCCCCAGCAATCTGTGTTTAATAAACCCAGGTGATTCTGATGTATACGCAACTTTGAGAACTACGGAACTGGATGTTTTTCTCATCTCTGGATCAATAATGATAGGCTTATTTTATTATTCAATATGTATAAAGATAAGGTCTCTGCCATCAATAAACTTCAATCAGTCTCATCGTTGGCTGCATATTAGAATTACCGGGGAGCTAAAAAATACCAACGCCCAGGACCACCCAGAGATTTTTTATTTAATTGGTGACCAGCATCAGATCTATTTTTTAGCTCCCAGTGTAATTCTAAAACATGGTCAGGGTTTAGAGACAGTGAGTTAATTGTTCAAAAGGCCCACATGACTTATGGGAAAATATGTGAAAATCATTATAGCTCATAGAACAAAAAAATGTAAAGTTGTGTTACAAACTGATGCTGGCTTTTTTTTTTTTTTTTTAGCTGGAGGGGTACTAACTACACTACCCACAATCTTTAAAATATTTAGTTTGATTCTGCATTGTTGCATTTTACAAGTGTCAAGAATATTATCTATTGGGAAAAGCAGTGAGAGAAAACTTCCTGCATATACTCCCCTGTTATCCAAAATGAACCAGAGAATTTTTTAGAACAACAAGCACATTCTCAGTCTATGGTACCCAGGAAAAGCTGTTATTATTCATAGATTTGGGTGCTCACCAATATGACCACTGGAAGAACTCAGAACTGGCTAGCTGAGAAGAACCAAGTGAGATTTCCAGGATGCTAGGAACACTGGTACAGAACTTTAATGTCTTAGGCTGGGTTCTCTAGAAAAGCAAAACCAGTGAAGCATATATATATATAGAGAGAGAGAGAGAGAGAGAGAGATTTATCTCAAGGAAATGGTGTACAAGGTGTAGAGCCTGGCAAGTCCCAAGTGTGCGGGTCAGGCATCAGGCTGGAGGCGTTTCCTGACTCACACAGCTGCAGGGACTAACAAACCCAAGATTAGCAGGTCAGACTGCAGGCCTCTGGCTCACAGGCTATGGATGCCAACGAATTCCAAGATCAGCAGGTAAGCTGCCAGCTAAAGTCCCAAGAACTGGAGGTCAGATGATGATGAGCTGGATGCAGGATCCACAGTGAGAGCCTTGCTGGAACATCCATTTATATACTGGAGGCAGGCCACATCCCCAAGGAAACTGCCCTTTCAACTGATTGGCTGCTCATAGCAGATCTCATCATGGAGCTGATTACATCATTACATAACTGACAAATTACATAACTGACAAACTACATCATAACTACCAAGCCACTGAGAATCATGGCCCAGCCAAGTTGACACACAACCATTACCATCACATTCAAGAACCAGGCATTCAGCTCTGCTCCTTTCAGCCAGGGCTGCTCTGGAAGTGCTGGGTACAGCAAGGAGCTGCAGACACCCTGAAAACATAAAGGGGGGCAGGCCCAAATGGGTCTTTTGTAATTAAAACACAAAATTGGCTCTGGGAAGTCTCAGAGGTTGTCACATAAACATAAATAAACGATGTTCAAAATGTTATTTTCCCAATTCTACAGCCATAAATGGATTCATGTATGGAAATCAGCCTGGTCTCAATATGTGCAAAGGAGATTCAGTTGTGTGGTACTTATTCAGCGCTGGCAATGAGGCCGACATACACGGGATATACTTTTCAGGAAACACGTATCTGTCAAGAGAAGAAAGGAGAGACACAGCGAACCTCTTCCCTCAAACAACTCTCACACTCTTTATGCAGCCCGACACTGAAGGTGCATTTCTTTAAAGCCAAGACAAGTCTCTACTGGATGGGTTTGTGTGGTTTTGGTTTAAAATCTTGTGGCAGAACATGTTGGGTGATAAGCTCATCCCTTCACCAAGTCTCCCAAGTGCCCTTTCTTCCCTTGAAAGAGCAAATCTGGGCCAGTTGTCCACTAAAGTATTTACCAATAGGTTCACTTCCTGTTTGTTGGGTGGGGAAGCCCAAGACAAGGGTGGGCTGTGGTTTTCTCCATTTCCACATAGTAGAATTCTCCATACGATTTCCTTTTAAATTATGGTTCATTTAAAGATAGCTGGCAAATCAGACTAGAAAGGGAATGACTCCCATACAGGCTCTGCCTCTAAACTTTTCATCATTTCCCTGTAGCCTAGATGTAGTGTAGACACTAACTGATCTCACTGTTGACTTTTCGTTGCTTGCAATGGGATATCCTAGACTAGAACTATAGCCACGCAATGGGATATCCTAGACTAGACTATAGCCACGCAAAGGGATATCCTAGACTAGAACTACAGCCACAGAAAGGGATATCCTAGACTAGAACTACAGCCACGCAATGGGATATCCTAGACTAGACTATAGCCACGCAATGGGATATCCTAGACTAGACTATAGCCATGCAATTTCACAGACACCACAGGTCTGGCTCTAAATGAGTAAAACAAAAAGGGAAGAATTTTAATCAAAATGTGAAAATATGCTAACTTGCTTCAGGCTTTATTTGGTTCATTATGTACCACTAAAACTTAAGATGGGTCCAGTGTCCTGTTTTCATTCATTCAACAAATATAAATACAGTAATGAACAAGGGAGATAGTGTCTGCTCTCATGGAATTGAAATTCTGAAGCACAGAGAGAGACAAAAAATAATAAGTAAATTAATACACATATGTCAAGTTCTTGTAAATACTATGAAGAAAAATAAGACAGGGTAAGAGGATAGTGGCAGGAGGGAAGGGGGTTGAGATTCTTTGAGGAGGTGACAATTAAGGAGAGACTGAATGAAGTTAGGCTGTGAGCCACATGGATATTTGGGGGAGAAATGTTCCAGGCAGAGAAAACTGCAAGTACAAAGGCCCTGAGGCTGGCACATGTTTGGCCTGTGCTAGGAACAGCAAAGACGCTTATACAGCTGGACCAAGAGTGAGTGTGGAGAGTGGTAGATCAGAAGTATGAGAAGCCAGATGATCGAATGGAGGCCAGGATAAGGACTCTGGGGTTGATTCTGAGTGAGGTGGGTAGCCATAGAGGGCACTAAGAAAGCAGTGACATACTTTCTTATTTGCCGTCCAGGGACTTTTGATGTTGAGTGCCTCACGACAGATCACTACATAGGAGGCATGAAGCAAAAATATACTGTGAACCAGTGCAGCAGGAAGTCCGAGGATTCAACCTACTTCCTGGGAGAGAGGACCTACTACATCGCAGCAGTGGAGATGGAATGGGATTACTCCCCACAGAGGAAATGGGAAAAAGAGCTGCGTCGTTTACAAGAGCAAAAGTAATTCCCCAGCCTCTGGTTTCCATTTGTTCAGCTGTAATTGTAGGTTTCCTTTTCAGAGATGGAAGATTTAGGCTAAATTTTAGAAAAACAAATAGTTGCGTTAAACAGCAACTACAACACCAAAAAACACTTCCTAGGATTTGCTGGAGGTCATTTTAGCTAGTGGCAAACTCAAAGATAAGACTCAGATGGCTCCACTACCAGTTTCCTTTCTACCACACCT